TAGTGAATCAACTCACCAGAAATGGAGAGACGGTAACTGATGCACGAGTTGTTGAAAAGATCTTGAGATCTTTAACAGACAAGTTTGAGAATATTGTGTGTACAATAGAAGAGTCGAAGGACCTTTCGACGCTCTCAGTCGAAGAGCTCGCTGGTTCTCTCGAAGCACATGAACAACGAAAGATGAAAAAGAAAGAATAAGCAGTCGAAGAAGCAAATCAAATCAAGGAATCGAACAAAGACGAAAAGGTACTCTTTTCTCAAAACTTTCGAGGAAGAGGACGTGGACGTGGAGGTTGTGACAGTGGTCGAAGTGGTAGAGGTAGCAACTTTGAAAGAGGAAAATCGAGCCAACAAAATTGGCGTGACAGAGGACGTGGTCAAAGAGGTGGTCGTTCAAATCACTCCAACTTCGAATTCTACAAGTGTGGGAAGTATGGTCATTACGCAAAGGATTGTAACTCCTACAAATGTTACAACTGTGACAAAGTGGGACATCTTGCAAAAGACTGTCGAATCGAAAAGAAGATTGAAGAAACAACCAACCTAGCCTTGGAAGCTGAATCGAATGAAGGCTTTCTCCTGATGGCTCAAAACAAAATCAACACCAATAATGACAATGTTTGGTATCTTGACTCAAGAGCAAGTAATCACATGTGTGGTTACAAACACCTGTTTAAAGATATGAAGAGAATTGAAGATGGTAATGTGTCTTTTGGAGATGCATCGAAAGCGAAGGTCGAAATAAAGGGCACAATCAGTTACTTGCAGAAGGATGGCTTGATTGGATCAATCGAAGACATTTACTTTGTACCAGATCTCAAGACCAATATATTGAGTCTGGGACAACTTACAGAAAAAGGTGATTCGATGCTTATGAAAGATCGAACACTGCATTTGAAGGACATAGTAGGACATCTGATTGCCTGTGTCGAAATGGAAAGAAATCGAATGTACAAACTGAACCTGAGGAACGTTTAGAGAAATGTCTGCAAATCGAAGTACAAGACAAAGCGTCACTATGGCATATGCGCTTTGGTCATCTACATCATGCTGGTTTGAAAAGGTTGGCGAAAAGGAACATGGTGCATGGACTACCAGACATGGATTATGAAGGAAAGTTCTGTGAAGAATGTGTGCTCAGCAAACAAACAAGAACCTCATTTCAAAAGAAGGCAGAATATCAAGCTAAACATATTCTCGGATTGATACATACTAACATATATGGGCCAATCACTCCAGAATCCTTTAGTGGAAAAAGATACTTCATTTATTTTATTGATGATTTCTCAAGAAAGACCTGGGTATACTTCCTGAAAGAAAAGTCTGAAGCATTAAAGGTGTTCAAAAATTTCAAAGTAATGGTGGAGAAGATAACAGACAGACACATCAAAGCAGTTCGATCTGACAGAGGAGGTGAGTACACTTCGACGGCCTTTGTGAAGTACTGTGAAGAACAGGGCATGTGGAGATTCCTAACTGCACCATATTCACCTCAGCAAAATGGTGTGGCTGAAAGGAAGAATCGAACTATTCTTGACATAATTCAATCAATACTCAAAAGCAAGAACATGTTGAAAGAATTCTGGACAGAAGCAGTACAATGTCCTGTTTATGTTCAGAATAGATGTTCACATTCGAAGTTAGAAGATAAAACACCACAAGAATCATGGAGTGGACAAAAGTCAACATTTTCTCATCTCAAGATATTTGGTAGTATAGCTTATGCACATGTACCAGATCAACGAAGAACAAAGCTTGAAGACATAAGTCAGAAGTACATATTCATTGGATATGATGAGAAGACGAAAGGGTACAAGCTATTCGACCACATAAGCAAGAAAGTGATCGTGAGTAGAGACGTTCGAATAAACGAAGCAAGCAAGTGGGACTGGAACAATTCAACAGAGGTTATTGACGCAGTCGAAGAAACAACTCTAGCTGTACCAACAAGTATTTCAACAGAACATGAAGATACTGAAGATGAAGATGAACCTCTACAACCCAGAATGAGAAGTTTGCAAGATTTATATGATTCAACAGGTGAGGTGCGTCTTGTGTGCCTTTTGGAAGATGCTGAAAACATCAGTGTCGAAGAAGCGCTACGAGACAAGAAGTGGAAAAGTACCATGGACGAAGAGATTAGAGCAATCGAATGCAACAACACTTGAGAGCTAGCGAATTGCCAAAAGGTAGTAAACCCATTGGTGTAAAGTGGATATTCAATAAAAATATGAATGCTCAAGGAGAAATCGAAAGATTCAAAGCACGACTGATTGCAAAGGGATACAAATAGAAAGCAGAAATTGACTATGACGAAGTGTTTGCGCCTGTTGCAAGAATGGAGACAATTTGATTGCTCATTTCTCAAGCTGCTCAATTCAAATGGCCAATATTTCAAATGGATGTCAAGAAAACATTTTTGAATGGTGTGCTCGAAGAATAAATCTATGTCGAACAACCACTTGGGTATATGAGAATTGGAGAAGAGAAGAAGATGTTGAAATTGAAGAAAGCGTTGTATGGGCTGAAGCAAGCACCTAGGGCATGGAACACACGCATTGACACATATTTCAAAGAAAATGGGTTCGAGCAATGTCCTTTTGAACCTGCCCTCTATGTGAAGAAAAATAAAAGTAATGTATTACTTGTTGCTCTCTATGTTGATGACCTTATTTTTCTAGGCCATGATGTTCAGATGATAGAAGATTTCAAGAGCACCATGACAAGCAAATTCGAAATGACAGACTTAAGTCTGATGAGATTCTTTCTTGGTCTGAAGGTTCGACAAGAAGAAACTGGAATCTTTATCTCACAAGAAAAATATGCAAAGGAAATCCTGGAAAAATATAAGATGAAGAATTGCAATCCAACTTCGACGCCAATGGAACCAGGTGCAAAATTGTCAAAGTTTGATGGAGGAGAACAGGTTGAAGGAAGCAAATATCGAAGCTTGGTAGGTAGCCTTCGATATCTCACATGCACAAGACCAGACATTTCACTAAGTGTTGGCATTGTAAGTCGATTTATAGATGAGCCAGTACACACACATTGGAAGGCACTGAAATGAATTCTAAGGTACATCCAAGGAACAGTATCACTTGGAATATTTTATTCAAAAACAGAAGACTACAAGTTAGTTGGTTATTCTGACAGTGACTGGTGCGGAGACATAGACGATCGAAAGAGCACTTCTGGATATGTGTTCTTCATGAGAAACACAACATTTACTTGGCTATTGAAGAAGCAACCTATAGTAACACTTTCGACGTGTGAAGCTGAATATGTGACAGCATCCTAGTGTGTCTGTCATGCAATATGGCTCAGAAGGTTGATAAGCAAGATGGAGCTAAAATAGGAAGGTTCAACAATAATACAAGTGGACAACAAATCAGTTATCGAATTGGCAAAGAATTCAGTGAATCATGAACGAAGCAAACACATTGATGTTCGATTCCACTTCATTCGTGAACATGTGAAGGAAGAAAGTGTCGAATTAAGGCATGTAGCAAGCAAGAACCAAGCAGCGAATATTTTCACAAAACCACTATCGAAAGAGATCTTCGACCGAGGCAAGAAGATGATAGGAATGTTGGATGGAAGAAACATTTAAGTTTACAGAGGAGTTTTATTGAATAAACTTTAATGTCATTAGTAATGAGTTTTCTTATTAAGTAAGGTAGTAGGAAGATTAAGAACCAAATGTAATTTGGAAAGTCAAAAAGTCAGTAGGTTATGATAGTTTTTATTAGTAACAGTTATCTTTTCTTGAATTGTAAAAGTCATTGGGTCTATATAAAGACCAAGAGTGTATTTTATTTAAAACAACAATAGAAAAGTTTGCCTCTTTCTCTAAACAGTGAATCGAAGTCTGGTTCCATTATAACAGACTACTCCAAAAAATCACTGCAACTGGCTTCTGCCAATAAAATGGGCTGCAGCCGATTTCTAACTTGTTTCCAAAACATTCATTCACCTGCACCAACCCAGCCAAAATCTCGATAGGAACATAACTCAGTCACTAAAATCGGCTGCAACAATGCCTAAGCCAATATGAAGTCTCTCGGAATTCTGAAAAGAAATAACTCTAATTGAGACTAAACATTACCATATAATGATTCGAGCTTGCCCCAAAACAGAAGTCAACCAGACACCCGATTACTAACAGACATCAAAGCTCCACACAACTGCAGAAATACCGCAATGCCCAAAAATAAAAACACAATGAAAAATGAACCAAGGCTTCATCACAGCAGTTTCCTGTCTATCCAAACTGGGCCACCTATAGCAGAAACATTAGCCCTAGGCAATCTATCACAACCGGCTGAACTTTAAAAAACTCCAAAACAGAATCTGCCCCTCAACTTCTGAGCAGGTTTAGTAGACTGGCTGAACTTTTAAAATGATTAAAAATCATTTAAAACAGAATCATTTATATCGAATCATCTGCTCCTAGTTCTCACTAAAATTATAGGTTTTTTCAACATGGTTTGTTTCTAGTGTTTTTTAAATTTAAAAATTCCTAAACTACACAATCATATAAACATGCAATTTTCCAAGTTAACACTTTTTTTTTATCAAAAACGCTTTTACATGCCTTTAAACTGGGTACTGTTCTATCACAAAGGATTTTTAAACTCTTTTTAAGATATGATTCACAATGAGATAACAGGACTTATAAAGACCAGCAGAACTAAAACTAAACCAAAGGCAACAGTAGTAGAGATCACAAGTTTGTCCTCAAACTGAATGACTTCTGGAAAAATGGCTGATTTCCACCAACAAACTCAAGTTCAACTTGACTATCCCCAACACTCCACTAATCTACACAAAAAAAATTGGAATTCACTGTCTGACACTAAATATAAAGAATCCACAACTACTAGCACCAACATAACTTGTGGAGAGCATGTCATTACTATGCCTTCATTTTCATCGCCACTACAAGCACTAGCATTTTCATCTGGTGCTTCACATTGCTCCATTTTTTTCTCCAACTGGCTAATCATAAATGAGATAAATGGTTGTTTTCTTCACAATGAAACCACTCTCAAAAACAACAACAACTTCCACTCTGTCTCCGGGTTCTATACTTGATACTAGTCTCTCCCCCTCCTCATCCTTAAAGGAAGCTAATGTCTCTCTCTTATAGAGCTGAATGGTGGCCTTTGTGTAATTTTTCACTAACACACTTATAAGTCCATCCGATGTTATGTTATCCGGAGTTGAAGAATAGGCAATGCACATCAATGACTTCAAATTATGCCCTTCTACTTGAGGAACTTCAAAAATTACAGAAGAACCATCACAATTAAAACTTAACCAATCGGGATAACTATCATCCAGGAGCACACAACCACCACTCTCATCAACAGTCGTATTCTGTACAAAGAGAGATAGGATCAAAAATCAATCATAGAATATATTTGTAAGGGTCACAAGGGGAACCAAAACATCAGGAGATTATCACATTGAGTTAAGAGCAGCCATACAAGTGGATTAGATACACACATTCATCCAAAACCTTAAGGCATTGGATATATGGACAATCATGTTGCTCAAAAGTCACTCACATTTTTATCTAACATGTGACTTTTTACTATAGTTTGACAGAACAATAATATTAACAATAAAATACATGCAAGGGAGGATGAGTCAAACCTGTAAAATTTTCTCTTTCAAAATATTGGTAACTTGGCAATTCACTCCCAATTGAATGAAAAGAGATTTCAAGGAAATTTTTGATACTTGTGATGTAGTTGTTGTTGGTTCCAATTCTTTAGAATTTGTGGTGCACAATGCCTCCAAAATTATTGTTGTATCAAGAGAAAGTTGATCTTCCGAGCTGCACTCCACCCAAAGACTTCTAAGATTTGGAAGATACTTGGAAATCGATGATAGCTCCTGGGAACTACTATGTGGCACATCAAGAGGAACAAGAGATGACATGATAGTAGAGGTTTGAAATTGGGATGGAAAGTTATTTGTTGGAGACATCCAAGACCAAATGATAGATGGAAACACATCTCGTGAGAATCCTTCATAGCCGCACAAGGAAATATAGCCAATGCTTTTTGATCTCACTACAGAAAACGGAACCCTTGTTATTCCAGTGTTATTTGCAATCAGAGTGGTTAAAGATTCCATTTGTTCTATGTCCTCTTCCAACGTGTCAATCATTAAACACCCTGAGAGAATTAGAGTTTTAAGAGATGTCAACTTATAAATGCTTCTTGGAAGGTTACATAGGTTAATACAGTCTTCCAAATTTATTGAAAGAATTTTATTGAGTTCTCCAATGCTGTTGGAAACCTCAGATAACATTGGACAATCTACAAGTATTAGCTTTTCAAGATTAGGCAAATTTGAGAAGTCTGGGGTCTGCATCAGATGATGAGAATGACTAAGGTTTAGGATTTTCAGCATCTCCATTCTCTACAAGAACATAAATATTAAAAGGAGAATTTAGGGAAAAAGCTTACAACATTAAATGGAAGCAACTACCATGAAAAGTGAAAACAATACATGAAATGCAAAGAAAAAAAAAACTAGAATCAATATTGATACCTGGGTTTCTTTCCACACAACTCTCATATTGCTGTTTTCTAACTCCATAGAAACTATATTTCGTTGATAAAAATCTGAAGGTATGCATGTTAAAGGAAATCCATTCCAACATAACCACCTTAAATTTCTTGAAAGATATTCGAAATCGCCATCAAGTCTTATTCCAACAAGTTGAAGCAATCTGAGTCTCTTCATTTTCTTAAATGCTTTAGTACTAAAACATTTTGAACTAGCTATTGGCAACTTCAAAGCCAATCCCTCAACAGCTTTTGTTCCCTGTGAAATATAATAGACCAAAACGTAAATAATGAAGAACTTCGTGAAACATGAAGAACTTTAATTAAGTATAAAAAGTGCTTACACTCCGATCAGATAAAACATCAAGCACGTCCTCATGAAACCATAACCTACTACGTTCCTCAGGCTCTTTTGGTGATTTTTCACGAATGATTTCTCTTCCCATATCTCGTAACAAATCATGCATTCCAAGTTTGTTTTTATCATCAACAGTTACTAGGCTTCGCTCAACAAGCACACTTATTCCGATTTCTGCAAAAAGTCCACATGCATTTAATATTTGTATAACATCATTTCGGTCCATCCCGATAAAGAAACATGCTATGTCTAGAAATATTTCTTTCTCAGTATCATCACTTAAACCATCATAGCTTATTTTTAACTTCCGTTGTACTTGATCATTGGGAATTATTTTGATTTTCTCTAATACACACTTCCAATCTCTTACTCCCCTTTCAAACAAATAGGAACCAAGGACTTCCAGAGCTAGTGGCAATCCCCCACAGTACTCAACAATTTTTCTAGAAATTTCAGCAAACTGTTTTATAGGACTCGGTTGCTTGAATGCATTCAAACTAAAAAGTTCAATTGATTCATTTTTATCCATTACTCTCATTGCACATACTTTGTCAACTCTTAGCCCTCTAAGTATATGTTTATCTCTGGTTGTGATTATTATTCTACTCCCTGGACCAAACCATTCACGATTTCCACACAAAGCTTTTAGTTGGTCCAAACTATTCACATCATCAAGTACGAGAAGTACTCTTTTATGACAGAGTCTATCCTTCAATGTAAGTTTCCCAGACTCAATGTTTTGTATCTTGGTTGTTGTTTCTTTGAAGATATCTGATAAAAGTTGTTCTTGTAAAGAAACTTTATCAGTAGTTTGCTCCCAAGTTTCCCTAATATTTGCAAGGAAACTCCTACCTTCGAAATTGCGGCCAATTTTGTTGTAAATGGCTTTTGCAATGGTTGTTTTACCGGTTCCCCCCATACCCCACATCCCTAGGAGTAGAACATTATTTGATTGTTCGATGCCTAGTTGTTGAGTCGTATCTTGCACTCGGGATTCAACTCCCACTGGATTATCAGCGACAAACAAGTCGGTCTTATCAAGCAAAAGAGTAATTTTTTCAACAATATGATTGATAGCCTCCCTTTCATTCCTATAAAAATGAACCAAAGAAAAAATAATTAAACCAATGCACACACAGTGACACAGCCATTCAGACATACATATGTATATGTATATGTATATGTGTGTGAATGTGTCAAAATATATGAGATATTTGAGTAAAAAAATTAAAGTTGAGGTTTGTGCGTAAGTTCAACTTTTCCAAGATATTGTTGGCCAGTAACCACTAAGAAGTAAATTGTATGTGAAATCATGTTTTGAGTAAACAATTCATGCATCAATAATTATGTCACATATTAAGCAAACATGGAATGATTCTTCCACATGAGAACAATTACGGTTGAATTATAACTTATATTCATAAAATGATAATGTCTAGGTGAGTTCCCATGTTTTCTATTTTCACGTTCAGTCTAACTTGTAAACATTTTCTTCTTAATTTTCAACAACTCGTTAATGATTTATACCTTGAATTTAGAACTACGAAGCCAGCAAGACCAGCAGCTTCAAGAAGTGCATCTCTCCATTTCTGCGATAAAGAGTGTTCCTGATTCATTCTGTTCAACAGAGTTTGAAATGCTTGTCCAAACTGACCAGTTTGATGACGAACTTCAGATGGATCTACGCCATAGAACACAGGAAGCACCACCTGACCTATGGTTCTGCGACACTCCATTATCTTCACCAACTCATCCAAACACCAACGCGAATCTGCATAATTTGTTGAAAAAACAATCACAGAGACTCGAGAATCTTCTATTGCTTTCACCAGTGATGTTGAAATATGATCTCCTCTCTGAAGCGAATCATCGTCCATAAAAACCGAGATCCCGTCGTTCTGAAGTGAAGCATGGAGATGTGAGGTAAAAGATGCACGAGTGTCTAGTCCCCGAAAACTTAAGAACACTTCATAGCTTCTTATATCACTTGCTTCTGTGCTTCTTTTGACAGAATCCGTGATGCTTTTTGCTACTGAAGAAGAAAAATATGAAGAAAAAAAACAAATTATAAAAATAAAGAGAGAAAAAAAAGGAACGAATTTGGGTCTTGAGACTCTAACTTTGTGTTTTAACCAGTTCGCGTCTGGTTAGAGGCGGCACTTTAGATCTGGGCTTTGAAAAAGACATGAAGTTAGCTTAGAGTGTGCAGATTCAACAAAGAAAGAAGCGCAACCAGGGAAGCGGTGTTGTTGCTTTTTGCCGTCGCGCAAGTCACCTTCCAACTTTAAAGAAAACACTACTTGCTATTTTTTAAATTTAACGTCACTCTAATTTTTGTAAGTCATTGCTTTATAAATACCAATACATTAATACATTAATATATAAATATTATTGTTAGAGCATTAATTTATTTTGCCACTTCCAACTTTACATCAACAACAGCAACAAGGTTTTAAATATTAAAACATCACACCACATGTATACTAAATGACAAAACTCAAATGCATTATCGATAGGTGTTATTATTTACTTAAAAATTTGAACAGAGGAACAGCATCAATTTATAAAATAATCAAATATAAAATGTTTTGCATTCAATACAAGATAAAATTACAGCTATGATCACGGGTCCATCCTTCTTCATTCTTGGTAACATTTTCTATGTAAGATATTTCAAAATATTAGGTAATAATGGAGAATCACTCTACGAAAATTTGAAAATACTCGTATAAATTTAAAATTAGATTTTTGAACATACTATTTTCATATTAAAATACGTCGTATATAAAACACATTTTATTTATTTCTAAAATTTAATTTAGAAATGTATCTCCGGAACCATTTCATTAATTTGTCAACTCAGTGATGAATTCAAATGTATACTCAAGATGTCCATTACAGACATATATACTTAACTCACTACGAGGTTGGTTGATCACTAACGATTAGAGATGTTGAGATCATCCTTAAAAGGAGAAAACTTGCATAATTGTTGATATTAACCATCAACAATCCCTTTTGGTGTATACTCAAGATTATACTCTTTGCTTCGAACAACTCCATGTAATCATGCATCAAGACTTCGAGATGCAAAGCATCGCTGCAAAACATACTAGGATTTCACATTCGATATCCAGATTCTCTTCGATCTAGGTGATTTAGTTCTTCCAAAAAATCTATGGTCATTAACTTAAGACCTTTTCAATTTATCAAAGCAGAAGGACTCTAAATGGTCAAATTTATTATTGTATGAGCATTTATAAATAGGACGATTATTTTTATTTAAATATTTACTAGATGTTCTATTTGATTCGAATTATAATCCTCTTTTATTTAAGGAAGGCCTGTGATTTAATAGGATCAAGCCAAGCTTTTCTTTCTCCTTAGTAAATCTACTTAGGATTTCATGCAAATATGTCACTTCCTTTTTCAATTAGACATTAGTCTCGGATTTCTGTTGAGTTTCTAATTGAAATTCTGGCACTCTCAAATTAGATGTTATGACATATATCACAACACCAAAACACAATGTCAAGACAAAGGTTAAGACATCATATTCCTGATACAACAATTTAAAGGAGATCCACTATGATAATTGTTAGTAAAAATAGCGCCTTACACCCTGTGACACACCCTACTTCAACCTGTTTTCCACTAGACCATTGCAATTGTTTGGATTAAATTTAAACGTAATATTATATACTGGTTCAATTATGCAGTAATTCAAAGGTTGTTTCCCTTCACCAAGTGGCATGAATTTCTCTATAAATAGATATTTTCTGTAGACATAAAGATATACAAAAATTATATGTTTCAAGTGCCAAAAATTATTTCTAAATCATTCTTTTATTTTCTATTGCACGGGAATATATGAGGAAACTTTATTCGGTAAATTATCGTTGACCGATATGCTTAATGTGAATATGCAATTCACGTTAAGGTTTCCAAAGTATGTTGAAGGGGATTCGCCGGTTAACCTATTTGCATCCTATTTGCCTAAATTGGTGGGGGTGAATTGGACCTAAAGTTTAGTGTAAACGCACGCTTTGTAATTTATTTTTTACAACTTTCATCGTATCGTTTTCATCTCTTTCTTATTCATGTTTTGTAGCAGACCCCCAACGCAAGATCTAACAATCTTTAGGTTCAATTTTCGATTTTGATTCATACTTTATTTATAATTAATATTAAAGTATGCAACTTTAAAGAAGATGATAACAAATTTCTATAAAGGTGAAAGGTACTTAATTAATTTATATATTTTTAAAAATTATGAAGTTTTGATTTATGGTTTTTTGTGATTACTTTGTGGTTGAAACTTTGATGGAGAGATAAATATACATCTTTGATTATTCTTAACCATGGTGAAAGGTACATAGTTATTTTAAATAAATATATGTTATATGATGTTTTAAATTAATGTAAAATATATTGAAAATAATATTTATGTTAAGTTTAACACGTGTCATAGATTTATATATACATGATTTATAAATTATTCAAGTATGTGAATTTAGATACTTAAGAATATATTTAGTTTACGGTGCATACTTGAATATATTACATGTTAAATATTATTTTTTTGGTGCAAGTGATTTACTTTAAGTAATAGTGCATTATTTCTGGATGAAATAATTTGATATAAAATCATGAATTTGAATTTATCGTACATGTATTGATAACGTGAAATGATGTAAATGAAATGTTAAAAATATATATGACATGTTTCAATTATATATTTTATTATGCAAGAAAATAGTTTATTTTGAAAGAATAAAAATATATTTTATGGTGTTATATTATATGAAGTTTATGTATTACACGTTTGAACTCTCTTCACGAAATAAAAGTTACTCATGACAAATTTGTATGATCATGGTTGTCGATTGCTATAAATGTTTAATATTTTAAATATATTTTGGATATATTTAAGTGAAAGTAAAAAAGTCAAACTAAAAAGGTTAGAAAATGAAGAATGGTATAAAATTTGTGTATATGACAAAATGTAATTAAATGACAAAAGTGTCATGATGATAGTTTGTCGAAACTATCAAGAATATATAATATATAATACATTTTGTATATGATAAATGTACTAATATGAAAAAGGTGTCATGGTTTGATAATAATTGGTAAATGTTGTACCCAAAAAATTTTTCTCTCATTTTTATTCAAGACATTTTCCTAGGGTTCCCAAATGCTCAAGGTTGCTCAAGAATTGATCAGACAAATTCTCCTCCTAAGCAATGAATCCACAACTAGGGTTTAACTTTTCACAACTAAGTTTGAGTTCCAAAGGTCTTAAATGTAATTCATGGTCTCTTATATGTCTCCAAGAATGCTCATACCAAGTTTCAAGTCTTGCGTCACAAGTTTGCTCAGTCAATGGTTCAGATGACTGAAAATCAACTATATTGGGTAAAAAGTCAATTGTGGTCAACATACAGTCAAACTTCAAGATTTTTGGTCAACATTAACATTTTAAAGTTATATCATTTGATCAAGGGTTGATCATGATTCTTCAAAGAAGACGCTCAAATCATCAAAAGTCAAAAGTTTCCAAATTAGGGTTTCCTTAGAAGAAGACAATTGAACTTTGACCAAGCATAACTTTCACATGCTTCATCAGTTTTTCCCAACTAAAGCTAATTTTTAAGGAAATTCAATTCTATACAACTTTGTCTCTCTAAGCTCAAGTCTAAAAATACTTCATTTGAGAGATATGATTCAATACATTACAGGTCATTTCTAAAGTCAACAAAAAGACACTTTTTGTCAAGGTAACTTACATCAAGATAAAGTCTTCAAATGTAAAAATGATCAATATAGAGATTGTAGAGGACACATTAGGCTTTCTAAAAAGTCAAAGATCACATTCAAAATATGAAAATTGAGAGAGTTATGACCAGTACAAATTGGGAAATTTTGAGCAAATGCATGAAGTTCAAATTGGGCAAACTTGATATTTTGGGCTATTGGGCCATTGTTTTAGAGTCCAAATATGCTTTATACTCCTTATACATCTCAAATATTATTCATGCACCCCTTGGCCTATTCTTATTTTAATTATTTTGATTTATTCATTAATATTTCAAAAATAAATAAGACAAAATATAGGCCTTTCTTACACAAAGACCAAGCCCATATCTTTGTCCTATATATTCTCATTCATTCTCATACAAACGGACATGAAACCTTGCCTCAAAAACTTGTCAAAAACTCAATTTTTTTCAAAGAACCCTAAAGATCTTCAAACCCTTATCATAACCCTTTCACTACAAAACAACCACTCCATTCATTCCCAGCAATCATACAGAGTAAGAATGGAACAAGTTTGATGGTCCAAAGCTCATGAAACGCCATGCATTCATCTCTGATTCCATAATTTTCACAAAATTCATATCTTAATTTTTGTTTTGTTTTAAGCCATACTAATGTCATTAACTTGTTCCTGAGATGTGTTTGTACAGGTTTGGATCATTATAATGATCCCATGCAATCGAAATCATAAAACACCATGTTAGCACCGATCCTGGTCGTTTTCACCATAGCTCTTAACCCAGGCTATTTTAGGTCCAAATAACTGTCTCATTGAACTCGCAACCCTCAATTTAGGTGGATATGATGTTTTTGGCTTGCTAACCTCTTATGTTTTGCAGGTTTTGATAAAAAAAAGGCAACCGGAGCTAGGGCTTTGGCGTCTCTCTGATTCAGGCATCATTCTTATATTATATATATATATATATATATATATATATATATATATATATATATTATATACCGGATGTATCACTGCCCCAGCAATTGAAGAGCGAGCGTTAAGGCATTGGTATCAAAGGGCACGGGTTCGATCCCACCTTTTGCTATTTGTTTTCTTCACATTTTCATATTTTTGCAGATTTATTTCAAAATGCACTGGAGCTGTTTACTATCACCAAGGCGCGTTTGGCTCAGGGATGAAGGTGTTGGCTGAAGGTTCTAAGGGCGTGGGTTCAACACCCACCCCTACTCCTTTGGTTATTTTTACACAAATTATCTCTTCTTCTTCCTCTTTTTTTTTCCTATTTTTTACAAAAAAAACCTTTTTTTCAAAACCCTAACATTTTCACAAACCCTAATTAATTTTTTAGGTTTTCATTTAATCAATTCTTTTTTAATTAATAAATTAATTAGGTTTTTCACAAAAC